ACTCTTTATCGACGTTGGTCTTATAGTTAGGAGAACGAGCTTGCTTCCAAACCGATAGGGTCAGCATCTTGCTTCTTATTAGCTGTAAAGTTAAAACGTTATTGTTAAAAGTTATCACAAAATGAAAGAAGTACATTCAATCAATTAAAGGTAGCCGTATCTGTGAGTTTCTGTAAAACACGCTAAAAGCTACCACTGATAAAACTAGGTATTTATATAATAAACACCATGAAAATTGTTGAAATTAGATTCATCTCACTACTCTTATAAATGCGAGAATTTGTATGTATTTTTGTCACTTAGCAGAACGATTAGACGGATCTGGATAAAATATATCACAATAATATATTATATTGATTGAAGAAGATCAAGCGAAAACATATGAGGAAGTTGGAAATATAATGGTAGTAATAGAAACATGCTGAATCAACATTTTTTGACAAATATTATTTGTCAATAAAAAAACTGTTTTGTTTGAAGACCACTTTGTAACATAGCAGTTCTAATGTATGACTTTAGTTACACTTTGTTATTTATACGAGTAATAAAGTTACAGAGACTCACCTGATGTCAGTTACAATGTAGTGTCAACTAAAGTGCCATGAATCGTGCATCCATTTATATACCCCACATTATGACGAAGGTGGTAGGTACTCTGACCACATCCTGAAATAATTACACGTTGTATCTGCCTCAAAATGATAACGTATCGCAGTATCTCAAGGACTCGAAAAGGTAAGTATAGGCATATCAAACGCCCATATTTTGCCGACTCTTTAAATCCCACCTACCTAACAATGGACAATGCTATTGCCGATATCCAAGCAACTTAGGAATAAGATGAGAAAACTGGAAGTTTAATATGAAAAGTAAGTAACGAGGAAAGGGTAGGAAAGAGAAACTGCCTATAGGGATGGATTAAGAACGTTAAGCAAGTTCAAATAGGTCAGAATTCGATCTGGCTGTAAGAGCTAGGCTGGTCGAAGATTACCGACCCTTTTTAACAATAAATAATAAAAATCGAATACATTCATAGCGTCGCCTTATCACAAATACCTAGACCTAACAAACACCCATACTGAATACGTTATCATGTTGATGCAGATACACGTGGCAATTTCGCCAGGATGCGGTCAGAGTACCAACTTGGTGATAATGTATATTCTCAACAATCACGGTATATAAAGATGCACAATTCGCTACTACTAAAAAGAAAAAAAGGGTGACCATGCACTACTAACCCAATAAACTTTAGCGTATGAAACGCTAAAGTTTATTTATTTTTTTATTTTCAATACCTACTAATATTATAAATGCAAAAATTACTTTGTCTGTCATTTACGCTTTCACGGCAAAACTGCTCTATCGCTTAGGTAGCCTAGTGGTTTAGGCTTTGGACTTGCGATCAAGAGGTCGTGGGTTCTAATCCTGACAAGTACACTACCGACATGAACCCACTCCTAACACAAGCAATTTAGCTTAGCTGGAGGGGTTAACGGGAATACTAGTAATTTCGGTTGCTAGTAAGCCTTTATAAGAAAAATCAAAAAGGAATTTGGCATGGAGATAGTGATTCTTGAGATGGGATATAGATTGTACCGCTATAACCGACATACGGAGGAGAATGTCATAACTATCAAATAGTAAATTTCATTTAAATTAAATCTAGGTCAATTATTGTCGACTGTAAATAAATATTTGGTAGTTTTTTCATTACATACATGTATAAGATATAAACTGGATCGGTGGTGCAGTGGTAGCGTATGCGACTGCTGTGCTGAGGTCTCTTGTTTGATTCAGTGGTCAGACCAAATGTTTATCTGATCTACAAATAATTGTTTCGGAGTTTGCGTGTATTCTATGTACAATATGTATGTATTCACAAAAAGAAGTATATAAGAATTCTATCAGTTAATCTAGCTTTCATAGCACAGTTTTCATAACACTTTCACATTTCATAACAGCTTTCATAACACTAGTTTCAGCACAAGCTAAGCACAGCTTGTGCAGCTGTGCTTAGCTTGTAACTACCACCTGGTACCGTTGTGTGTCAGATGTTAATAGACAGGACACTTGGATCTTGTTTTTATGTGACTCTTTTTATCTGTAGCAATTCAGGATACACTCAATTTTTAAGAAATAATTTTCAAAGACAGTAAACAAAAGATGTGTATATCTAGATAAATGAAAATCCATTTCTGAAATAAAAAAACAATATGGATTTATTGTTAATACAAATATAGCATGTGTATACGGCACAAATTATCGATCAAATTCTCGATCTAAACAAATCATAACTAAATCAAAATCGGTTCGTCTATTAAAAGCTATGATAAACACACACATAGATACAAACCTAAAACTCATAACACCTTTCAGTTTCCGTCCTTTGATAAAAACTTTGCAGAACAGAGTTATGGTTTACATTTTTTAAACAAACCTCGGAAGACCAAAACAATACTTAATGTCAGCCATTATTCTCTTGGCTGACTCCGCAGGCTCCGACTGAGGAGGTCGACATGGGGGCTGGTCGCTTTCGTGATGCGATCTACTGGTAGGTAAGGAGGTCTACTGGTGATCCCAGCAGTATGAGGACCTCCGCGCGGCCTGTACTCGTGCCCGGAGGTCATAAACCCGCAGTCGGCGTCGTCATTGCGAAGACGGCGAGGAGGCTTCATGAGGAGTACCGAGAGGAGAAAGTGGTAGAGGACCTATTCCCGCAACGGGCAGAGCATACACCCCCCTCGATGGCCTCCTTTAAACGGGGAGAACGTGGATGATGTTCCGCCCTTCCGGGAATCAGAGTTAGGAGCGGCTGTTCTACGGATCCGTTCTAAGACAACCGCCCTCGGGCCAGACGGAGTACAGGCCCGAGTGCTAGCCCTAGCCCTCGACCACAGCGCAGACGCAGACGCAGATGTGTTTGACGCTAGCTTGGCGTCAGGACGTTTCCCTGATTGCTGGAAGCGCGGGAAGTTGGTCCTATTAAAGCAGCCGGTATGGCTTGCCGATTCGGTCGCAGCCAACAAATTGTTTGAGAGGGTTCTCTCTGTCCGCATCGTCCGACACCTCTGCGAGGTGGGCAGTCAATCAATCTGTCCGACGCCCAATTTGATTTTTGAGCGGGACGGTCGACGTTGTATTGCGCCTCAGGAGCGTGACCGAAGAGGCGGTGAGCCGTGGCAGTGTGTTGTTGACGGTATCGTTGGACATCACCAACGCAATCAATAGTCTGCCATTTAGCTGCATCAGAAAAGCACTCCACTATCACGGGGTGCCAGAGTACCTGAGGCGGTAACTGGCAGACTATTTAGAGGAACCTATCGTCGTGTGCAAGGACCGATAGGGTAATTTGTAAAAATTTTCGTATAAGTTATGCGGTGAAAACCTTAATTCAGTTAAATCTATCAAAGACTATATAATCTATCAAGGGGTTACATTGGATGAAAAAATGCATCTAGATATACATATAGATAATATTATTGGTAGGGTATATAAAATCTATGGATTTGTTATGCGCACCTGTAGGGACTTTAATCGCCTCAACTTACCTACACATTTATAAGTCTCTTATACGTTCGCAACTTGAGTACGCTGTCGTTGTGTGGAACCCATATTATAATAAGTATACTAGTACAATTGAAATGGTACAAAAGAAGAAGCCGTATGTCGTATAATTATCTTTTAGAAGAATATAAGCTCCTCAAATTAAAGTCCAGACGTACACTACTAGAAATGATGTTATTGTATGATATATGTCATAATAAATACGACTGTACTTCGTTAAGTAATAAAATATGCTATAGGACTCCTCATTCGACCCACTGCCGTAGACCTCATCGAATCTTTTTTGCTGCAGTTTGTCGAACAAATACTGGTAAACGTTCACCATATTACAGACTTGCTGATACCTGTAATAATCATGTGGTCTCTATTGATATTTTTTGTAACAGGCTTGCAACATTTAAAAAAGAAATAATGTAATTGCTGCCCACTTAAATTAGTTTTATCTTAGTACATATTTATATAGTATTATAGTTATATATATAGTATTAGTTAGTATAAGTTAATGTTACTGCTGATTGGTAAACTTAGTTTGTGATATCTCACCTGAAGTATCAAATATAGTATTTTAAAAGTAACCTGTAGTTAACGGTATTGGTACCTAGTACAGATAATAACTTGTGTAAATTGTGTATTTATTTATAAGGTTTCTGTAGTTAACTCACTGTTTGTTAACTCAAGAAAAAAAAACCATTTCAGCTTTATTATAAAGGTGTAATGATAATAATATTTCAGACATCTGACACACAGCGCCATCTAGTTTCAAACTATGGCTCAGTATATGTGTAAGGTTTTGTACACGTGTAGTAATGATCAACTAGTGTGATTTTGGATTATTTAAATATTTTCACAGCTTGTCTGTTTGAAATAATAAGATTATCAAAATACCCTCGAAATACAAATGCCAGTGCAGCCGTGTGAAAATTTTATACAATTACCTCAAAAAAAGTTCTAAAAAGTGCAATATTAGATTTAAATTTATTGATGCAGTGACAAATTCATAACAGATAATTTAGACAGTAAAAATAAAAAATATTAGCAATAGATATATACGAGAATATAATAGGTCTTCACCTATGAAATTGCCGATGTGACCACCAGACCTTGCACCTACCGACTATTACTTTTTCCAAAATTTAGACAACTTTTTAGTGGGTAAAAAAATCAATTCCCGAGTGGCAGTACAAAAAGCTTTTGAAGAGTTTGTTGCCTCCCGTCCAGCTGATTTTTACAAGAAGGGCATCAATAAACTGCCAATGCGTTGGCAAAAATGCGTCGATTGCATGGGTAATTACTTCGAATAACAGAAATAAAAAAGTTTGAAAAAATAAGTACTTTCACTTATGCATACAAAACGGCAATTTCATAGGTAAATACCTAATATAAAATAGCGCAAACGTCTGTTTTGATATAAACGGTACTTATTGAATCCTTGTTCATTGCTTGGTTGCAGTAGCAGCACCTCCCCACAGAGCAAAAGTCCACCGGAAGCGTGTTTCGTTTGCGTAGATATCGCCATTATGTCCCATCAGCAGCCTGTCGCCATAGGAATCCGTCTGAACGACCAGCTTCAGACCTTGCTTAAATTGGAAGTTTATAATGTAGAACGCCAAACTTCCACTCTTCGAGTTCGGCTCCAGATAAAACCTGTGCCTTTTCTCTCCGGAATTCTTCGAGCCCCAGGCTTGTCTGTCTCCCATGTCGTCAGTACTTGCATCAAGTTTCAAGTACATGTCGTAATGAGCATTAAACAGCTTGAACGTGACCTCATTATTCTCCCATACGGGTACAAATCGCCAGCTCACCCTGGTACTTGTCTTGTCGTTGCTGTCTCCCCACGCGAGCCTGTCGTTGTAGCTATCTGTATGAGTATCAAGCTTAAGCACCTGGAGGTATCCAGTATTCAGTATAGTCACATTCTCTTGACCAAAGATGAGTTTAAAAGCTGGAGGAAAGTTGTTTCGGACGATATCTTTCTCTTCGCCATTCCACAACTTGTAAGCGAAAGACATCAATTTTGTGTTTGCTGCAGAATTGGATTCCAGCAGTTTTTGAACAGTAGCCGTTAGCACATCACGTGCTCCATCCTTGTCTAACTTACTTGACAAAGCTACAGCTCGATCGAATTCGCCATCGATAACTAACTTATAAAGTCGGTCTTTGAGCATAGTGACGTTTAAAAAGGCAATGTGGCTATCAAATAACGTTAAACCTTGGAGTTCTTTAGGTAGGTCGTAGTTAGGACATTCATACAAATCTTTAATCTTCAGTGCATCGATGAGATTGGCAATTTCTTGTGAGTCGCTGTTGAAACCAAACACAACTACTTTTCCAACATCAGTGTTCACTATGCGGGCAATGTCCGAAGTGCAGCTTTTGTTGATAGGGGCTCCCATAAGAGTAACTGTCTTGACAGAATTGCCTCTGATATAGGCACTGGTATCGCAGTTGGTGTAGCTAAGTACGGGAATCCTGTTGGGGATCTTCCTGTCGCGATCTTCGCCATTGCTCACGAGTTGGAAGGTGTGATTGACGTTATAACAGTTTTCGAAGCCGCTCCTGCCATGGCTGGTAACTATTTTACCTTCCCCCCAGTAGTCTACATGGTCTATGAGTTCGCTGAGGGAGTAAGGGATCTTAATCAAGTTGTACTCGCCGAGGAATGGGACTTCGGAGTACGGGTACCCTTTATCGACGTTGGTCTTATAGTTAGGAGAACGAGCTAGCTTCCAAACCGATAGGGAATGCATCTTCTTATTAGCTGCAAAGTTAAAACGTTATTCTTAAAAGTTATCACAAAATGAAAGAAGTACATTCAATCAAAAAAGATTGCCGTATCTGTGAGTTTCTGTAAAACACGCTAAAAGCTACCAAGGATAAAACTAGGTACATATATAATAAACACCATGGAAATGGTTGAAATTAGATTCATCTCACTACTCTTACAAATGCAGAATTTGGATGTATTTGGATATCTGGATAAAATATGTCACAAAAATATATTATATTGATTTAAGAAAATCAAGCGAAAACATATGAGGAAGTTGGAAATATAATGGTAGTAATAGAAACATGCTCAATGAATACATCAGTCATTGACAAATATTATTTGAGAATAAAAAAAAACTTTTTTCTTCGAAGACCACTTTGTAACATAACAGTTCTAATGTATGACTTTAGTTACACTTTGTTATTTATATGAGCAATAAAGTTACAGAGACTCACCTGATGTCAGTTACAATGTAGTGTCAATGAAAGTGCATCCTTTTATATTCCCCACATTATGACGAAGATGGTAGGTACTATGACCACATCCTGAAAAAATTACATATTGTATCTGCCTCAAAATGGTAACGTATCGCAGTATCTCAAGAGGCATATTAAATGCCCATATTTTGCCGACTCATCAGAGTTGGTAATTTGATCGTGATGTCCTTGCGTTTGAACAGAATCTTGCGTAGTAACAGATGAGGATAAACCTCCGAAACACATTCAAAATCAAAATCAAAATCGTTTTATTATTTGCATAAAACAGGTATAAAGGTGGTAGAAGATACATCATATAATACATGGGTACGCTGTAATATAACCTCTTAAAGGTGTGCAAATATTTAGACATCGATATTTAAAAGTTTATTATTTAGACGTTCAACATTACAAATACAATTTGAAGAATATATTCATATCATAAATTTATTCAGAGAATTAATAATGTCAAGAGTATTATGAATGTTATTAAGTCAGATCAATACAATAAAACCAAAAAAAATAATAAAGAAAACAACAATAATAATCAAATAATCAAAACAATAAAAATAAAAATAAAATGTCACATTGTCATGTTCAACATAAATTAAATAGCAATGAACGGAATTAATTTGATTTACAATTTGTCTTGCAGAAAATCATTTACATTATAATAGCATTTTTGGCTCAGATTTTTTTTTTTCCATATCTTTTTTTCTCTTTATAAAATTTTCTTTGTCTTGCCCTTTCCAAAGCATTAGCGTGTGCTATATTAAATATATTATCTTAATGTTTTTAAAGTCCACCTTACGGCGCTTTTAATTATCTTGGATTTTTTTTAGATTTTTCTTGCAACTCCCTGCAAGCGTAGAGGAGACCCACAAGTTTTTTTACACAGTTAGTTATAGCTCTGATAGGGATTTTCTATGTTTTACCCAAAATATAATACACTCCCGAATGACGAGATTAGCGCTTTCACTAACAGGACTTTTAAGATTTTTCATAAAAAATTGCCGAAATTTTACTTAATACAATTTTTTTAGAACTTGATAAAATATTGTATAATTTCCATTACTAAAACTGTAATTAACTTAATAAACTGAGCCGCAGCAGATGGTTAATAATAGCTCTTTAAATCCCACCTACCTAACAGTGGACAATGCTATTGCCGATATCCAAGCAATTTAACTTAGGAATAAGATGAGAAAACTGGAAGTTAGATACGAAAAGTAAGTAACGTGAAAAGGGTAGGAAAGGGGAACTATAGGGATGGATTAAGAACTTTAAGCAAGTTCAAATAAGTCAGAATTCGATCTGGCTGTAAGAGCTAGGCTGGTCGAAGATTACCGACCCTTTTTAACAATAAATAATAAAAATAGAATACATTCATAGCATCGCCTTATCACAAATACCAAGACCACTAACAAACACCCATACTGAATACGTTATCATTTTGTGGCAGATACACATAGCAATTGTCCAGGATGCGGTCACAGTACCAACCTGATAAATATTTGTATTCTCAACAATCACGGTATATAAAGATGCACAATTCACTACAATTCAGTTGACACTGTATCGTGACTGTCACCAGGTGAGTCTCTGCCACTTTAAAACTCATAGAATATGTGATAAAGCTTATCACAAAGTATGAAATAACAGATAACACGGTTCAATATACGTCGGTTAAAATAAAAAAAATAGTACCAAAATACAGAAATGCAAATTTAGAAAACAATAAATACAATAAAGTATTTGCCGAATTAGAACACCATTGTTAACATGAGTCGGTGAACTGTACACGGCAGCGTCGCAATGTCGGCGACTTCAAAGCGACGCCGCCGCCGCCGCCGCGACGAGCCGGAGAACTTTACGTTTTTATTACCTACCTACTAATCACTTCACTTGCTTTATAAAATCTATTTATTAAAAATGCGATTTTATTCACATGTTAATTTCGGGAATGCTCGACTAGCTTCGGACCCGGCACTACGTGTCACTCCTTGAAAAACTAGATACTATGGTTGTCTCATAATCTTTGCACCGTCCTTTCAAAAATTCGGCAGTCTGTAGGACATACACGATTGACTCCATTCCTGTCCGTAAAGCTAAAGATGCATTTTGATAGAGGTTCCCTTAAATTAACATCATTTCAGGATATTCCGCGGCTGTGAAGGTCACTCACGGCATTATGGATGTTAATACCGATAACCCAATAAAATTAAAAGACTGATAATTCACTCAGTTTCACACACACTACAAACAGAACCTAAAATTGTCATTTTTCAGAATAAAATGAGCGGAACTCGTTACAACACGAAGTCTTGCGCACACGATAACATTAATTGTTCACACCATTGCCGTGTATTATGACGAAAGCAATAAGACTAAACAAATATTAACACAACAAAACTTTTCTAAACAAATATCTCACGAACAACAACAATATTATATTGTCGTGAGCGAATCTATAAGGACACAGAACAGCATAAAACTCGCCGGTGGCCCAGGGCCGACTGACTGTACTTGCTGAATGAACTAATTAAAAACGCGTGTCCTTCATCTTGATAACGCAATAATCAAATTATTTCGTTCAATTCCGCGCTGATACCGCACCGCGTATACAGTTGATCGCCGCCCGAGGTCAATGTATTATGACTGTATTTACACATGATGTTGCAAATTACGAAACCAACAAAACTGACCTGTTTCTAAACCACTGAATATTTTTTGTTCATATTTTGCAAATCGTTTAGAAATAAAGTGCGGATGTGGTTTACAGATTTGTTAAAAGACAGATCACACGCTCCATATGTAAATAACGTGTAACAGAAGTGTGTGTTTATATTTTAGAAGTGTTATGTTACATAGTTGTTGTAGAAGATTTCTCGAAGCAAAATGTTAAATAAAATATTCGTCAAATGACATTAGTCGAATGATTTGGCTTGTTTCATTTCCACCATCACAGTGTTTCTTACTAAATTTCTCGTGTGGCTTCGCTCGCGTTGATACTGATGTAACAATATCTGTTTTGGCACCACCATATTCCTTTTTCTCACCAATCTCTCCTGCGGCGTCGCTCATGTTGGTAGCGATGATAAATATGGCTTTATAGAAATATGGCTATAAATGTGGTGCTACATGTGTGTGTGGGTGTGGGTGTGTGGGTTCGCTCGCGGTGATATCGATTTAAACATATTTTTTTTGAAATAAAGGTATTCTAAGCCGAACTAAGTAAGAGAAAAAAATCTGGTTTAAACAACATCCATAGTGTTTATTATATCAAGTGTCATTCATGGTCCATTCCAGCATGTTTATTTATTTCATACATGTAACACTTACAGGTGAAAACATGAATGTAAAAGAAATATTTAATATTAAAGTAATTTTTATGTGAAATGTTTCGTAAAAACACATAGATAAGGCTGCAATTTCGTTTTATTGAATGTTTGTGAGAACTTTTAACAATAACGTTTGAGTTAAACAATTAACAATAATCAAAATGCATTCCCTATTGGTTTGGAAGCTCACTCGCCCACCTAACTATAAGACCAACATTGGTAGAGGGTACCCGTACTCGGAAGTCCCATTCATCGGTGAGTACAACTTGATCAAGCTCCCTTCTTCCCTCAGCGAACTCATAGACCATGTAGACTACTGGGGGGAAGGAAAAAATGTTGCCAGCCATGGCAGGAGCGGCTTGAAAATTGTTAAAACGCCAATTACACCTTCCAACTCGTGGAATCATCTTCCAACAGGAAGATTCCCGTACCAACTGCGATACCGGTGCTTATATCAGAGGCAATTCTGTCAAAACAGTTGCTCTTATGGGAGCCCCTATCAAAAGAAACTGCGCTTCAGACATCGCTAGCATAGTTAACACTAATGATGGTAAAGTAGTCGTGTTTGGCTTCAACAGCGGTTTACACAAGATTGCCAATCTAATCACTGAAAACCAAAGATTTGTTTGAATGTCCTAACTACAACCTATCTGAAGAACTCCAAGGTTTAACATTATATGATAATCACTTGGCCTTTCTAAACGTCACTATGCTTAAAGACGAACTCTCTAAATTAGTTATCGATGCTTAATACGATGCTGCTGTACCTATGGCGAATAAGTTAGACACGTGGTGTGCTAACGGCTACTGTGTAGTGTAGTAATACATATATAATACGTATGTCTATCTTAAGATAAAAGTAGTGATCACTATTGTATTTACAGGAGAATAAATTTGATCTAACAACTTCTTTATTTTCTCTCTCGATACCCATCCTTCCAACTGTTCAAAAACTGATGGAATCCAATTTTGCAGCGAATAACTACTAAATACCTGAAGAACTCCAAGGTTTAACGGTATATGATAGCCACATTGCCTTTTTAAACGTCACTATGCTCAAAGACCGACTTTATAAGTTAGTTATCGATGGCGAATTCGATCGAGCTGTAGCTTTGTCAAGTAAGTTAGACAAGGATGGAGCACGTGATGTGCTAACGGCTACTGTTCAAAAACTGCTGGAATCCAATTCTGGAGCGAATACAAACATGATGTTCTTTGCTTACAAGTTGTAGAATGGCGAGGCGAAAGATATCGTCCGAAATAACTCTGAGAACAGGGAGGTCACGTTCAAGCTGTTTAATGCTCATTACGACATGTACTTGAAACTGGATGCAAGTACTGACGACATGGGAGACAGACAAGCCTGGGGCTCGAAGAATTCCGAAGAGGAAAGTGAAAGTTTGGCGTTCTACATTATAAACGTCCAATACCGGCAAGGTTTGAAGCTGGTCGCTCAGAAGGATTCCTATGGCGACAGGCTGCTGATGGGGACGCATGCGCGTTTTTATAGTGGTCTATTGCTATTATTTTAATATGTTTTATTGTCTAAATTATCCATTATGTATTTGTAACTGTTCTGCTTAAATAAATTTAAATACGGCAAAATTTTCATCCCCATCACCTGGATAATCGGCGCTTCACCATAATATTGCATTGCACTTCTTAGAGCTCTTCTGTAACAATATAACCTGTACCTGCTGTGCTCACGTGTATGTTTCGTGATCTTATCATTTCAAACTTATCAGTTCGCTTCGTTTTTTGTAAAGGACAACTCTCAGTCATCCCTCAAATATACATACGTTTATAAAACTATGTTTTTACCTACCCATTATATGTTATATGTATATAACAAAATTGAAGTATATTCTTATGAACTCTGAAACTATCAGTTGGATACAAAAATATTTTTATGTTGCACACTACTTACTGTGGAAAGTTACAGGCTCTGTAACATTAAGCTATGTCACTCCTGGCCCCAATGACTATAAACGTTGGAGGTTGAGGTTTTGGCAACGGCTAGTATTGTTATAAAGCTTAAATTATTTTGGTATTCTGCTTAACCTCACTGCCGCTGTATGTACTACAACAAAGCCCCCGCCACGACGATCTAGCTATTGGCTAGATGGAAAAGAAAAGGATGTTGCTTATACGAATAGAGTCAATGATCTAAGTAACAGCTTAATAAGAACTTTCCGTACCTGTTACTCAAAGTAACTATTTAGGTCACGTCCAGCTAACTACAATTTTTTTGTCATTACGGAACCAAACACGGGCTGAAAACAACTGTCTCTCTCTCTGTTAATGAACGTAGTAACTGTATCAAAGGACTTGCAGTGTACATGTGCGCTGTGTATCTGCACAGGGCGGCAATGCCGGCAGTTACGAGAGGAGGCTAGTTGGCGCCCAGAAGCCGCGCCGTCTGCCCGCCTTACGCGTTCTCCGCCCGCCCAGATACTAACGTAACACCTTACGCGACTATTTTGACGAGTTCGAAAGACGATTTTGAAAGTTAAGTGTTTTGTTTTTGTAAATATATAGCTAATAATTAAATTAATTATCTTTTTTGGACTAGTAAGTTTTATTGGTAGCTAATTTTATTTGTTTAAGGGATGTTAAAAATTATTTGTTTTGGTGTTGAATATTTGTGTCAAAATGACTGATGGTGTTGAAATGTAACAGGAAGTTAACAGGTACTGTACCCTTATATTTTTTATAGATAGTTGGGGAAAATATCGAAACCCTTACAAAATTAAAATATATGTCTTTTAGTTAAGGATTCCAAAATTCAAATTTAATTTCAAATTTAGACTTTCATATCTATGTTTGGAATTTAGTGATTCATTTGATTTTTCTTTGACATCGTTTTGTGCATAATATGGAAAATCTAATAGCGCCAATAGCCAAGGGTAAAAATAATTACCTATAATCCACCTAGATGAACATTAGGCCGGCAAAATTCCAATTGACCACCTGGGTGGACCATCGGCAATTTTTTTTGAGGGGATTTCCGCACGGAAAAAAAAAGGTGGACTGCGCAATTGAACCACGGGTAATAACATAATTTAACATTATTAGAGACACGTGAAATAGTTAATTTAAATATAGTAATATTTTGTTGACTAAACTTCAATATGCTGATTAGTAAAATTGACAATTTGATTGTGTTGAATTTTATACAGTCAGTTCTTTAATTAATCTGTCATATATACGAGTATATTCTTTTAAGAAATACAATGCAATCTGATCATTTGTTTTTAATGGTATTACATTATCATCATCATCATCAGCCTGTCGCAGTCCACAGCTGGACATAGGTCTCTCCCATTACATACATTATAGTAAATTATACATTAATCCGTGTTGTGACGGACTAAGAATACAGAGTGTCACCACCCCTATTCATCCCGTGGGTGTCGTAAGAGGCGACTAAGGGAGCAAACTACACAGGACAACAGCACTGCAGAGAGAAGGAAAACTTTACACGAACCCTATACCAACCAGTCTGGCCAGCGTGGTATAGTAGGCCAAAACCTCCTTTCTAAGGAGAGGCCTATGTCCAGCATTGGACTATTAAAGGCTGTTGATGATGATGATGAAATTATACATTACACATTATCTCTCATTGATTATAGTAAAGTTAAATTAACACTAAGCTACTTGCAATTTATTTAAAATTTAACGTTCTATAACGACTAAAAGTTTAAATTTCTTGGCAAATGTGATATACCTATAAAAAATTAAATGTGTTCGCAATTTTGCATAAAAAAATGTGAATACCAACCCGGATAGCATTCTTCATCACAATAGATCGACTCAATAGATATCACTAAAACTTGACTTAAGTACAAAATTGAAGTCCAAAAGATTTACCCCACTCAACATAAATCTAAATAGTTACCTTTTGTTATCGTCAGCACCATAACTCAGCTGTGATGAGGTATGGCCGGCTCGACAAGAGTTAGGCAATTGTGAAGTTAAGCTTTCCTTCTCACCTAGTGTCTGAGGTTAACGGAGCCCAAACCTCTTCTCTGCTCCTTTTTCGTGTGCCCTCAACCTACACCATAAAAAACCTAATATTTGTGGTCCTACTTAAAAGTAACATATAAAATAATAACCTATATAATAATCATCAACAGCCTTTTGGCCTGCTATACCACGCTGGCCAGACGGGTTTGTTTCAAGTTTTCCTTATCTTTGCAGTGCTGTTGTCCTGCATAGTTTCCTGTCTTAGTCAGCTCTTACGACACTCACTGGATGAATAGGGGAATACTATTAATGGTTTGGTTTATTGGTTTAATTAGTAACTAATATATCATTAATAATAATAACTAGACAAATCTCGTTTACTGTGGTAACCAGACTGTTGATGAATACATTAATATATTTTTCTAAATACATAGATATGGTGAACTACACCTAGGCACAGCCAGATTGTGCTCATCTATACAAATAAATAAAATTGAAGTGTCTGTTTGTAATGTCAAAATAATTGTTTTTTATTTGCTCGCGCGGTTATTTGCACGATACCTATGCTTAAAAAACGGTTTAAATATTTTTTGTCTGTCTGTCTGTTTGTTCCGGGTTATCTTCAAAACAGCCGAACCGATTTTGATAATATTTTACTACCAGGATTTTTCGTCTCGGAAAAAACTCTAAAAAATGCCGTCCGGAAATCGCCCCGAGGCCTACACCACTAAGGCAGCGCTTCAATTGAACAGACATTTACAATTCAAATTCCACGTTAACAAAGTCACGGGTACTAGCTAGTCGGATGGGTTCCCCACTTATCAGTCAGGATCGCTTGCCACTAGGCCAACAGGTCAGGCCAGGCCAATAAATTTATTGACTATATTGTATTTCGAGGCTGTGGGTAAAAGTTAGTATTTATTAAAGTAGCCTTGATATTTAGACAGAGTTTTTTTATCTGTAGATGGCCCCATCTGTACAAGCCCTTAGCAGACTGTATGTTAGCGAAAATAAGCTATGTAATCTTCACTTATTCATTGCTTTTTTGTTCAGAACACTTTGGAGCCAATTAAAGCTGATGGAAGATATATTAAGCGTTTTTTGCTGAGCAAGTGGTAATATAATGCTAAATGTGGTTCTTGCCTTTAATGTTGATACACCAGTTATTTTAAAGTACCTAATAAAGTTTTGGCTTTACAGGGTTAAATATAAAAGGCGAAGAGTTTGAGGCAAACTGTAAAACAATCGTTACAATAATTTAGTGGAGAGTTCCTGCCGTAAGACTAACAATAATAACATGAAACACTTTTCATACGCCCATCTGAGCCCAGACTATTTCAAACCTGTGCTATGTTAACTAGACTGCTAAAAAACACCTTAAATATTTCCAAAAATATAAATACTATAAATAAATTACAAACAGACACGGAACAAATGATCGTATTTATACCGTAAATATTTGTTCTGGGAATCGAACCCATGATTTCTGGTTTAGTAGTCAGTATGTAGTCTGTATGGACGGGCCGACTCAATACTATGGTCCTTTCTTCAAAAGGCCAACTCAGACCCTATACTGCATTCACATAGTTCTCTTTAACATTGTATAAGGACTTAAAAAAGACACCGACAAGACAGAGCGAGTCTTAGGAAATGCCGGCGCCTTCTAGCTGTAAAGTCCGACATGTAAAAATATCTGTAAAGATTTAATTGCATAAATAAATATCACTTTATTTCATTTCAAATCATTTCATATCAATTCATATCATTTCATTTCAGTATAACTAACCAGGTCAGTTTACAGGAACTATACATTTGCATAAAAAATTTAAGTAATTGTATTATAAACTCTGACATCTCAAATATGAATGACATAAGTAAAACTTCTTCATACAACTTAAAATGATGTAACAATGATCTGTCACTGACCCTGATATAACATAAATATCGAAAATAATCGACAAAAGACAGCACAAGGACCGAAAGTCTGCTGCAACCTTTACGCCTCATATACACCAATTCCTAAGAGTGTATTGGCAATACATCTTAGTTTAATTAAAAAACTGTGAGAAGGTGCATTAAGGCAGCCCGATAGTGCACGCCCGCCGTACATTAAGTTCTCAGCGATATCAGCTGATGAATAAAACATATGCTGATTGTTTGGCCTCAAGGTGTATGTGAAAAATACTCTAAATTATTGACGTATTTATAGGCCCCGGAGTCTCAGTGGTCTCTTTCTGTTAAGCTGTAATACTCAGCTAAATTGGGGACCTCGTGTGGTAGATTACTGGATACGATAGAGAATAGGGTTGCCAATTTACCACTGCAAAGAAGACGACGCTTGAGGATTCCTCCAGGGTAAGGCCTAGTTAGGTGTAGCATCGATGATGGTCGAATCCAGAGTAGGCCGCCCGAGGCTGGGCGTCAGGTTATTTTTTAATGAACACACTACACACTCCTAGCCCCGGTCTCCCAAGGAGTCAGAGATCCAAAGGGATGAACTGGCTGAGACACGGAAAAGTGGTCACAGATCAACATGAAACCGTCAAATTCTGACCACTACAAAAAA